AATTAAGCCTAGTATTTTAGCACGAGGGAAGAATCCTTTACCTCGACGAAGTATCATACCTCTGAAGATACATACATTGCTACTTTTGTATGTCTTTCCTGGTACTGAGTACCCAGGTAGTTGAAGTATTCCGCTTTCAGTCCCATTTCTTGAATTTATGTCTGGAGGTCTTATTTCTATCAAGCACTAAATGTAAGTCATTTTGACAAAATGAGTTACTTTTCGAAATCCATGAATGGAGATATCAGCCGAAAATTGACACTTGGGTAAAATTCGTAGATTTTAAATAGATGCCACTTTCATCAAGCATAACTGTCCTTTTATTATTTCATGGTTATAAGTTGTACAAAACTCACCTATTGATTTGACACCATCCATTAATTCATCAGCACGCCTTACAATTGACCTTTATAGTTTCACACAAATCTCTAACTGAAATGTTAAAGACTCAGTGACAACGTATTTTTAGTAAGCGTTGCGCCTTCAGGTTTATGAAATATTACATTTTTTCCTGGGGTTTGTTTTGTTCAGCATTGCAGTACTTTCTTCCTGACCCGAATTTACGAGACAGATATTGTCCTCGCACAACATAATATTTTCTTTTTCTGTTTGCTAAAATCTCACCACGCTGGCTGTCAGTCTCGCTTATTAGTTCGAAAAGCTGAAGCCGTCGTAATCTGTGCCGTACTCCGTTGCTCTGTTCCTCGTCTCTGATTCCATGAAATGGTTGCCCTGCCGATGCTGACAACAACCCTAGTGTTGATACGGTATCGTATTTCTCTGTTCAATTTCCTGTCGACTCCACTACCTTATTTAGCCCCCTTTCCCATCAACAGAACCTCATGCTTTTCCTGCCCTCTGGATTATCAAGTTACCTCGCATCGTACCCCCCCCCCCCCAACTAGCATTTCGACTGAATTGAGCGGGGTACAACATTTTCCGAATGTGTATAAAGGCAGCCATTTCTGTCCCCCCCCCCTTTTTTTTTTTTTACATGATGTTGGTTTGACCATACTGTGTTAGAGAGCTTTTGTGTTATTTTTTTCTGTGTTGTACTGTATGCCAGGTCAAACAGTTGCAAGACAGATATATTTTTAAGGTAATAATTATCTCGGAGTATAATGGGTTTGTTTCCTCCAAAATATTTGAAACTTTCAAGCACACAAATCGTTATCCTCTCCGAGAAGCAGGTGTGAGGTAAAAGCTATAATAATAATTTCTGTTTGCTCTTGGTTCAGGTTGAATTTGCATTAAGATAATCGTTTAAAACGCTTTGTTTTTAAGAGGGGGGGGGGGGAGTTGTG